GCATTTTGATTATGGGTCAGTAAACAACATGGCATGTAGTATGTGTCCAGAAACTCCTGCTAAAAAGTATTTTAAAACTACTAGGAGTATCAAACTCAAGAAATAGTCTTAGCCAGTGGTGATTATAAATTGCACAAAATTCTAGCGTGCAAATGACACCCCAGCCCCCACGGAAAAAATACAACTTAAAAAGCACTTAGCAGAACTCGGCGTTGCTGCTTTGTTTACCAAAAAAAAAAAAAAAAAGAAAAAAAGAAAAAAAAGAAGAAAAGGAAAAAAAGGAAGGGAAAAAAGAAGGAAAAAACCAACCCTGAAACTCCTAGGTGTAAGAGTGTTAGCCAGATTATGATTTTTTTTTTTTTTTTCAGACTGATGGTTGGCATTTCTTTGTCCTACACATTTAGGAGATTCAGTTATAGATTCTGATTTGTTGTCATACTAGAATTTACGGCTAATTTTAGGTACTACAGTCACATTTGGCTGACTTTAAGATAGCAGAAGGATCCTATTATACTGTTCTTTGACCCTATTATATTTACGTTACTGGACTCTTTGTGATAGCCTCTAGCTGCTTTCTATCTGTATCCTCCTTGAGCAAAATATGCCCAGCAATATCTAAAAGCAGGGTACAGGGTTAGAAAACAAGTTCTCATTTGAAATACATATTTCTGCCCAGCACCATGAAAGCAAAAGGTTTATTTAATGCTTGTCAATACCTGAAGACATGGTCCAGCACTTAACAAATAATAATAAATAATAATAATACTCTAATAATGTGGCAATCCCAGTGTGAAAATGCACATGACCTCTTAGGTTTTCCCAAAGATTTTCAAAAGAATTCTCCCCATTAGCACAAGCGCTGGTGGACATCGCTGTTGCATTTCCCAACGAAACGTTTAAAAGACTGTAAATGGTGTGTGCATTACTTCATTGCAGAAGGAAGAGGTCAGGCTGAATTGCACTGGTATTTAAACATAATTATACTATGAAAATAAATCAAAACATCACGTAAAAGGAGTATTTTAAACGTTACACACATTTTCTTTCTGGAACGACGTGGTTAAGCACTTCGCCGCGAGCATATATATTTTAACACGAGTTTACAAAAATGAAAGTATACGATTTCCAATAAATGGGAATAGGTCTACAGCGAGGTATTATGAATATTATTTTGCTCTTTCTTTTCTAATGAGGTTTATCCTTCGGCCAGACAGCTCCAAGACTGAAATACTACTGACTATAGAGTGTAGATTGCAGATTGCACGCTACTCAACGTGAAAAGGAGCACGTTTGATTGATAGTCTCTGTGTGTGTGTGCGCCTATACACACAACTCTCTGTAGTTGCATGTATATGTATTTGGCAAAACCGGGCATCTCTGGGCGTCCTTATCTTAAGAAATGTGAGACAAACACCCATCCCTTTAATCATGTTCATCTTTGATCACCAGCGAGGGTGACACAGTCCACAAAATTAACAAAGAAACTCCCTTGCTTTTGAGAGATAGCTACATGTACATCTGGGGCTGCACACACATGCACGACATACCCAGGGACACACCAACACGCAGGCACACACCCCGGCTCCCAGTAAGTAAATTATTGCATAACTTTTCATGTAATTGATACCAGACACCTTTAATTTTTCATTTTCCTTCTTTTGGCCAGCTTTCACGTTAACAATCTAAGCCATAAACGTTGGTGGCTATTGATCGCAATCCCCTGTGTGCGTGCAAATCCATTTTCAAGTCCCCTGCCTTTAATGTGCGTGTGCGTGTGCAAGGGGCCTCCGCCGGCTCTTTCTCAGGATCTCCCCCCAGCCTGCTTGAAGGTGACCCCGGATACACAACGTGTGCTGATGGCCAAGGGAAAGCACAAAAAAAACCCTCAAACCAAACCAACAAAAAACAAAAAACAAACAAACAAAAAAACCCGATGGAGAAGTAGAGAAACAGAGGTCTCTGTGTGAGATGCAGAGAAAGATACGCAACCGAAAGTGTGTGTAAGTATACGGTGGGGATGTGTAGGTTGGGCGCCTGACATTTCCCAAGGCTCCTGGTGGGTTCCTCCGCCTCGGCCCCGCCGCTCATGGCCGCACCTTTGGGATCACCGAGGTCTGCCCGGGAGCCCCTGCTAGTTTTAAACCTCGGGCAGCGCCGGAATAGAAGCAGGGAAAAATAAGGCGGTTTTTAGCTCGCTGCCGAGCCCCGCTGCCAGGCTGCCGCTGGCGGGGCGCGGGTGCCCGCGGCTCCCTGCCTGCCAACGCACGCGTGGATTTCCACGGGAACCCGGCCCCGCTGGGCTACCTGGCAAATAAAGGACTTTTCAGCCCATCGGGGGGGGTGGTAACGTCTTCCGAGCGGCTTTCTCGGAGTTTACTGTTCCTTTACTGTTGACTCCATAGCCTTAACCTTAAAGCAGGGGGAGGAGAGCAGTGGGGAGGGGGTGGGGGTGTTGGCAGCGTATAAGTACATCAGGAGGAATTTTTAAACGACCTTATTGTCTCTAGCTCTAGAAAGACTCCGATGATTTCTTTTTAGCGCCAGCAGCTGTTTTCTCTCGAAACTTTGCTTTCAGCCCCAGCATGTACCAGGGTGCCTCTCAGCCGGGCGAGAAAGAGAAAGGCGAGGCTGGGGGATCCAGATGCGAGGCGAGGGAAGGCGAACTCCGCGGACGGTCTTAGCTCTGCCGAGGCATTGTTCACTGCTGCCTCTCGGTTACGTTCAAAGGCTGAAATATCACGAGATCCACTCAATGATCCTTTTCTAATTCGAGGGACAAAATGTAATTTGCCGTAGCTCTGCTTTCTCGGATGGGAATACTATCCCTAGGTTTCAAAGGGAAGAACTAGGCATCGCGGGTCGCACACACATGGATTAAGTTGAACAGCGGCGATTACATCTGCGCTGAGAGCAACAGTAGTCCAGGGCTGACTTTTCAAATCTCAGCCCTCCGAGTTAGAGGCTCCCTTGAATAGACTTCCTCCATTCCCGGATGCACTCCTCCAAATTCCCACTTCTCTCTAGAATTCCTGCGAAACTGGGGGCTCGCCTGCATTTCGCCTTGGCATGCAAAGCGGCGTTTTTACAGAGTGATTATGCGCTTTATTTTAGCTCTACCTGACGGGGTAACACGAACTCCACGCACCATATTGCCAATACGCGGAGTGGATATTGACGTTTGGGATTGAAGCTTTTTTTTTTTTTTTAATTTTTTTTTTTCCTCCGTCGATTTTTTGCCAAGTCCCAGAAATATGAGATGTCTCATTAATCTCACGGATACGTCTGATTCTGGATGTGCAGTGATACATAAAAGTGCCCGTGTTTGTATCCAGCGGAACACTGGATGCACGGCAGAGATTGGTGATTTTTTTTTTTTTTTTTTTTTTTTGCGGCGCCTAACGTGCAAACCGCAAGCAGCATCATTTTAACGTGACAAGGGAGAGGCACGCAGCTATCGCAACATTTGCGAAACCCTCGCTCCTGACACTCGAATAATTTAACGTTCCTAAGAAGAGGTTAAACCTTCAGGCTGCTTCTTCAAATTGATTTTAAGGGGCTGCTATAAATGGAACATCAAAAAGCTGCGGCAGGGCTACTCCGAGCGGAACATGCAAACTGCGAGCCAGAAGCATCCTAGCCCGTTGCAATACCGTACATTGTGTGTGCCAGCACTTTTTTGTTATTACGTAAAGGCTCTTGGAAGCACCTTGGATATTTTACATTCTCCTTTCTCTGCTGGAAGCAATCAGCACGCAGGAATCCTGACGTGGGCTCTGGGACTATAGGACATTCCAGCTCGTGATCCAGCACGGTTAATTGTGAAAAGTGTATACATTTCTGGCTTATCTATGCTTTGTTATGGGTCTGACGTGAGCCCACGTCCTCCTCCCCCCTCCCGCAATATTACAGGCAGAATTTCAGTTAAAAGTGTTACAGTATCTCGGTGCAGGAACCCGTGAATATTCAGGCAGCAAAATAACCTTAGTCCCCGGCTGTAAAAAGCTAATTAAGCAGAAGAGGAAAATCAAGAGAAACTCGAAAATGTAAGTATTCCCTCTCGTTAACGACCGAGCATTTAACTTCGGAGCCTCAGAAAGGGAAATACCAGGCTGTTCTGCACGTTTTCGCTAAGCTTCATTTTCCACACAATGCAGAATAAAACGCTAGTTTAAAGCGGCTACGTTACCGAAGGATTTTCCATCGCTACGATCAGACTTATGTCCTTTAAATTCACGGCATGCACAAAAGAGCAACGTTGGTCCAAAAGAGGCTAAAAATATACGAAACGATAGGGGAAAAAGCGTACAAATCCTTCCTCGGCAGCTAGCGACGAGGAAGTCTGAGAGGTCTGAGTGTGTTGGAGCTCGGATTGTTTAATAGAAAGATTTATATACTAACTGTATTATTTACTTTGGGAGGGGAGGTGGCAGTATAAGGGTATGCTAATTAGTGGGAGATTTTTTGGGGGAAGGGGTGGAATATCAATTTTTATTGCATCACCTGTCAGGAGTGTCCAATCAGCGTTGGCTTTAGGGGAATTAATTGATGAAGGTGTCTCCGGACGAGCTCACTTCACTCTGTCATTTTATTTGTAGCTAAAGCAGCGGCGGGAATAGCAGCTGCATTTCTTTTCTCTTCCTCCCTTCACATTCCATTATCATAGTTTCCAATGGAAAAGCAGGGAATGAAAGGGAACAGGTACTGATCTTCAGCAGCAACTTAGAGAAACACTTTGGCAAACCTGATTTTTAAGATTATATATTGATTGTAGCCTCACGGTATTTTTTTAATTTATTTTTTTAATTTTGTCTAAAGTTTGGCACTTCATTCACCAGGAATAACAGCCTTTATTATATTTTATTAGCAGGATGCCTTGAGACAAATACAGCATCTGGCTGAGGATTGTGTGTGTGTGGCTTTTTCTTTTTTTTTTTTTTTTTTTTTTTTTCCCCATCTCTCTCTCTCTCTCTGCAAATGCTGGGAATAATTTAATTCACGAAATGGGAGACCTGAAGTCGGGTTTTGAAGAGGTGGATGGCGTGAGGCTCGGCTACCTCATCATTAAAGGAAAGCAAATGTTTGCACTCTCCCAGGTTTTTACAGACCTGCTCAAAAACATCCCGCGAACTACCGTGCACAAGCGAATGGATCATTTAAAAGTAAAAAAGCATCACTGCGACCTGGAGGAGTTGAGGAAACTCAAAGCCATCAACTCCATCGCTTTCCACGCCGCCAAATGCACCCTGATCTCCAGAGAGGACGTGGAAGCCCTGTACACATCCTGCAAAACCGAGCGGGTCCTTAAGACGAAACGGAGGAGAATCAGCCGGGCGCTGTCAGCCACCGACCTGCGGCCGGAGCTCTCCCCCGCCGACCCCTTCTCCGGCTTCTGGAAGGAGAACAAACTTTGGCTGGGCTTGAACGCCTCGCCCCGGCCCCTGCTGCCCGTCAGGAGGAAAGCCTTGCGTCCGGGGGACACAGCCCTGCTACCGGCCTCTCATCTACCTCACATTTTTAGTAAATACACTGGCCACAGCTACCCAGAAATCGCCCGGGCGCCTTGCAAAACCCCCGTAAACT